ATACCAAGTGATGCACCAAAGCTGTGGCTTTAAACTGACAGTAACTGCTACTTCTCCCAGTATTATCACCACTATCTTGACTGCCACCATGAATAATGACAGCTGTCTTTTATTTAGCCATTATTTCAGACCAAGAGATATATTCATCTAATCTTGCTTAATCAGCCTTGAAACTTTAGGAGGTAGGTATTATTGCTCCTGTTTTACAGGTGAAAAAACAGGTTTAGCGATGCCAGGTGACTTATCTGCTGTTTTCCAGCTAAGAATATCTATCTGACTCCAACCACTGTGCTTATTATGCTTTACTGTCTTCTTTAGCCTTTTCTTCCATATTTGTAAACTGGAGATAATATTTGTACTAGAGTACTGGTAGAGAAGCACTTTTCAAATTTTAAGTCATGGCACATTAGGGGGCCGTGAAATTGATTTTGTAGGTAATAAAAAGGATGGAATAAAATAGAAAATACCAACAGTCATCACCCTCTATTCCTGAAATATTGTTTCTGGTTTGTATGTGTGTCTATGTGTGTGTATATATATATATATATAGATATAGATATAGATATAGATATAGATATAGATATGCATATGCTTGTGTGTGTATATATATGTCTATATATAGACACATATATGTGTGTGTATATGTGTGTGTCTATATATATATACACACATGCATGTATACTAGTAATACACTTCTACACTTCACTAGTACATAGGAAAATATTATTCCGTATCATGGGACATTGTCAGTTTTCAGAGCTACACTGTTCTTGAGATGTGATGAAGGTCAAGCTCCTTAGAAACTCTTAAGTGTAAATTATGATCATTATTTAGCACTGGAACTTGAAGCACAACATGTAGGTCGGTGTTGCTGTTCAGTCCACTGCAGGTAGTGCTAACCTGTCACCACATTGTGTCCGGCAGAGCCAAGACTTAGCCTTGATACAGCACCCCAGACCTCAAGATGGAAGCTGTTTGTAAACCCAGCAATAGGCTTATGTTTTGTTGGCGTACATCAGGACCAATCTGTGGCTATAAAGCACTGCTTAGCACTTCCAAAGTCATGGCTCTCATTTAAACAACGGGAAAACAAATGTGATCCCTATGACAGCACAGGGGCACTGCATTACAAGCCCCAAAGCAGTTGACTTTTCTCTCTTCGTCTCATAACACTCCGCACCACTATCCTCATCTGGAAATGATTTACCTCCTTTTGCCTCTCCAAGGGCATCAGACCAATCCAGAGTCCCCACTCATTTCCCCTTACACAAAGGTGGCAAGAGGCCCCTCTGCCAAGGCCATTTTCCGTGGAACATGCTCTTTCCTCTTTAATTGCAATTCATGAGGGAACTGCTGGGAACATGGGGTGCCAGTCCCCCAACAGCTGCCCTGAAGTCATGTTCTTAAGGAGATGCATTGCTTTCAACTAATAACAGCAAACTTAGTGGTCACAAAAGGAACTGGGTCTCCCCCCAGTAACTGAAATTACATGTATAACTGTTTCTCTGCAACCTGTAAATGAAGGCTATCGAATGAGCCATTCCTGCAGAAGGCACCACAGAAAAGTCCATGTAGACCTCGGGATCTGAAAGGCATGTCAAAGACTTCTTCAGTGGAATGTGCAATGCACAAGAAACCTTTGTGTATGGATTTTAAGTCAAGACTCAACATGACATTCTGGACTATGTGAGGAAGAGCTCATGCAGTTCAATTACCAACCCAGAAAGCACTCTCGGTGTTTTACAGACTTCACTAATGAATGAGTCCTGTGGCCTCTGCTGGACCAACCTTCCTAGTGCTCTGCCAGCCTGCCTCCCACACATCTGTAAATTTGTCAAGCTATAATGGATGGCTGGTGCCAGTAGAGGCTGAGGTCTATGCCTTTCTCCCCAGGATACATAGAGATCTCAAGCCATTAATAATTCATTCTACTGTAATGAACATAGCCATGTGAACTTGTGAGCAGTAATAATCAAATGACAGATCAATTTATTACTTCATTATGCCAAAAGATAATGGTAGTTAGCCACGAAAGGTATAGCTTTCCCCCCAAAAAAGTTTAATAAGCCTTAGATCAATGTGTTTTTTAAGTTCTAAAATAAAATGGATCATTAAAAAGGAAATGAATTATGATGGGTAGTGGCCTCAAGCCTATTTGTATTCAGAGTTGATTATCTAGAATTACTGTACCTTTTTTTTTCCCAATGCCTTTGGGCATTGGGGCCTGCAAATTAGAGTAATTGTTATTCATTAATTAAATATAAGAAATTAAACACAGCTCCAGACTCTGGAAAGGGAGATTGGAATATATGAGATATATCCCTCCCCCCCAAAAAAAATCTTCAATAATAATTGAAGATTTTATGAGTAGCTGGATTGGGAACAGTTGTTTTGTGCCTACTCAGACACGTCCCATTTAACACCTCATGAACATTCACTGGGCTTCTCCTGGGCCAGGCACTGTGCTCACTGCTGGTGTTACCACCTAAAATAAACACAGTCTCTATCCTAAGGCAGTGGGAAAGACATTAATAACATGTGATAAAGAGAGTACTTCTGCTTTCATTGAGAGGTGGAGGATTGGGGAAAGACTGGACAGAGACTGCAGAAAGGAAGAGAAGGGGGGATATTTGAGAAGAGTAAGAGAACATTCTAGGCAGTAGAATGACAAAGGCAGGTATGAAAGTGGGAAGAGCAAATTATTATAGTAGTAAATTATTATAATAATTACTGTGTTTCCCACACATTACCATATTTAATCTAACAACCCCCTCATGAAGTAGATATATTATTCACCTCCCTTCCCTTTTAAAGATGAGCCCAAAGCTTAGGCATTGAGTCACTTGTCCAGGGACCCAGAGCTGGGAGGTGGCAGAGGAGGGCTTAGAGGTAAGTTGGACAAATGTGTATTACTTCACTAGAGTCTGGGCTTTACATTAAAGACAATGGAGCCCATCAAGGATTTATAATCATTATTATCAGAGCAGTCAAACAACAGTAGCTTTGCTAAACACTTTACACACAGTGTGTCATTATGTTCTCTCCCAATAACCCAGTGAAGTTTGAGGCCATTGTAGTTGTCAGCAGGTGAATAACTTGATCAAGGCTGAGTTACATATAGTAACTGGTGGTGGCAGTCAGGATAAAGCTGACCCTAGAGATGCTAGTCGGGGATCCTAGTTAGGAGGCTGTTCGTTTAGTCAGATGTAGTGTTGATGGTAAAAAGTGATGATCATCCAAACCATACGTTTTTATATTGGTCTGCAATTTAAAAGTACTTTCATCCATAAATAGCTTGTTGACTCATTTGCACAAGGGACTTTTGTGGCAGGAGGGGTAAGCCTACTGACTTTGCTCATTTGGGAGGGGGAAGTACAGGGACATGGAATTCACTTCTAGCACACAGGAGGCCATGATAAAAGAAGTGATGTTACAAGCAGCTTATAGATAGATACGTATACTTGCTGATTGACTAAGTTACAGAACCAAAGTCTTTCCCCTTTGCTGGGTAAGAACTTGACCTGCTGCATTAACACTTTCAGAAACGTGATACAGCTCTGGATAGATGGGAGGCTATGTAACTAAAATCAAGACATTCCACTAGAACTCAAAATATGTTTGCAAAATATTTTTATGTGGACCAGAAAGAGGCCAGTATATCAGTGGCAACTCTCCTTGCTTAGTACTCTAAAAGCAAATTCTCTTAGTACCTGATTGGTTTCACAGTTAAAGGTCAGACCTAACCACCCCCCTGCCACTTTCAGAGGAGAAAGTTTTTCTGACATTAGACTTTTAGCCCTAAAAAATTCTAGAAAGGTCCACATCTGCTGATAAAATTGGTTGATGTAGTAATTTCAGTGAAGGCTCAGTTTCACAACCAGCACTTAAGGCAGTAGAACATCTTCTCCTACAAAATAGAAGTATTGAAGAGAAACAGTGCAGGCATTTATAGAATTGTGTGAAAAAAATACTCTGTATAAATAGCACTAAATGCTAGGGAGGTATGTCTGTACAAACTGCTATCTCTGTCCAATTTCTGTCTAGTTTCTAGTAATGAATAGTTTCCTTTTTCTAACAGGTGATTTAGGGAAGCCCCTAATATTTTCTTAACAATACTAAATTGGGCTTAACTTTTAACTTATTTGTTGTTAGTAAATCATTTGTATATTTTTAAACACAGGGCCTGCAAATGAGCAATTAAGTTTTATAGCTAGGTCATGGTGGCCAGGGAATGGAGTTCAGATACATGTTTTGAGTAGTATTTATCCAAAAATATGTATTTAGCAGATTACTTAGATCCAGCTACTGCTGACCCTGTGTGTTCCTTAGACTTTGAGTATAAGTGACAATATAAACACAGCCATGCATATGGATATATAGTAGTGCATTTTTGTTTCTGTTTATGCCACGTTTCACTTAATGTAAGCCACATGTTTAATGCAATGAGGTTTAATACTATGAGCCTAAAGTGCTGAATTTCTTAAGATCTCTCCTTCTTAAATATTAGGTCTGTTTGGTGCCTGTGTTTGCAAGTGTATTAAAGCCATCAAGAGTTTTTGTATTTGCACTAGAGAAAATGCTAAAGATCACAGTGGTTTAAGCAGTAGCCAAGTATAAAAGCCATAACTAAAAGAGATTAGTAGTTATCTGAGTTTGCAGAGCAGGGATTCAAATTTGCAAAGTTTTACATTTGTGTGTGAAGCTGCTTTGGTTGGTTGGTTGGTTGGTTGGTTGGTTGGTTGGTAGGCAAAACAGAAATGAGTAAGGGAGTGTCATGTCGTGAAAGTCCAAAATAGCTGGAATGGTGAAGATTTCTAATACTTTGAGGGACAAAAATATGAGTAGAGAAGTCTCTCCTTGGACTCAAAAGACACCTTAAGATGTTCCAGAGTCTGGTTCCTACCAGATGCGGAGCCTGAAGGCAGGGAAGGCACAGGGAAGTCAGTATCTACTTGCACTGTCTTTATCTCATTTGTGCCTTTTCTCTTCCTTCCTCCCAGTGTTGCTAACAACCACAAGCAGAATTTGATGACAGTGGCAAACCTTGGCGTGGTGTTTGGACCCACCCTGCTGCGTCCTCAGGAAGAAACAGTAGCAGCCATCATGGATATCAAGTTTCAGAACATTGTTATTGAGATCCTAATAGAAAATCACGAAAAGGTAACGTGTCATTGGTCACTGTGAATGAAGAATTTACCCTGGGAGAACTTGGGTTGAAAATGGCATTCAGAGTTGATGCAGGTTCCCATTGCTAATGGCTCTTAACACCATGATGCTGATGATGGTCAAGATGTTGGTGATAGTCATCATCTTGTCATGGCGGCAGTGGCCCAGTGGAGAGTAGGGGCCTAACGGCAGTGGTTGTGGTGGTGGTTATGGTGGGCAACATGGGTTAAGCATTCCATTTGTACTGGAAACTGTGCTAAGCACTTTGTATGGGTTATTACTCTATCCTCACAACAATCCAATGAAGTAGGCATTCTTGTGAGCATCCTCTAGAAAATGCCTTTTACCTACTTTTCACATGATGGTCTTCTCATGAATTTGAGGGGTGTTTTTCCTTCATATTAATGGGAGAGTAAACATTTTTTAACGATAATGCAAATATTTTTCCTAGTTTACCCTCCAGTTCTCTATACAGTATATTTTTTCAAACTGTATGGGTGTTGGGGAGAGTCTGTCTTTTCTTTTGGGGCACTGAAGTTTCTGGTCTTTCTTAAAAAGATCTCTCTTGTCTCAGTGCACATAATGAAGTATATCAACACAGGGCTGCCCTTACAAAACTGGGGTGGAGGCCATGAAGTTTCATACATCTGTCCCACCTTAGTTCCTAGTAGCAAATCCTTAAGAAACTTCTCAGAACTTGTAGGGTCTCCTGGGACGCCATTTGACAGCCACGGTGCTGGGATATAATAAAAAAAATAATTTAAACACTGCTGCCCCTCCTAAATGAAAACTACCTAGGATGGTGGTTTAATCATGCCAAATAACCTGCAAAATAAATCTAGACCACTTCTCACCACTTGTCTGCACTGATAATACTCTAACATAAGCCATCATCATCTCTTATCTTGATATTTACAACAGCATCCTGATTTGTTTCCTTCTTACACTCTCAGCCTTTTTCAATAATAGCCACCAGAGCGAGATTCTTTAAGTGCTAAGTCGAGTCATATCATTTGTCTGCTAAGAACCATCCAGTGGCTCCCCATTTCACAGTGTGAAAGTCAAGAGCCCTTACAAGAGCCTGGAAGGTCCTACACAGGCTCTGCTCTTGCCTCTCTTACTTACCTCATGTCATCTATGGCCTTTTCCTATAGTTCATTCCTGTGGCTACCTTGACTACCTTGCTGTTTGTTGCATATCACAAACACGCCCACCTCAAGGCCTTTGCAGTTGCTATTCCCAGTACTTAGAACAGTCTTCCTCCATGTAACTTTGTGGCATACTTCCTCACTTCTTTTCAGCCTTTTAAATGAAGCCCACCTAGATCTCTCTCTTTCAGATTATATATAGACCCAACCCCAGTGTTTTTCTCCCTGAAACTATTTTATCTGATAGCACTTAGCCTTTCCTAATATAGTACATAATTTGCCTACTGATTAAATATGTTGCCTTTCTGACCTCTGCTGGGACATATGCTTCCTACATGCATATTATCTGTTTTGTCCACTGCTTTGTCCCCAGGTCCTCAGTAGGTACTCAGTACATAGGGCTTTGTGGTATCTGGCCTCCAAAATGGCTCCAAGAGCCCCTCATCTCCTGGTATTCACTGCCTTGTGTGGTCCCCTCTCTGAATAGGGAGGGGATCCCAGTATTGATCCCAATGTGACCAATAGGAAATTATAAAACTTATAGAGTATGACTCTGGAAACTAATCAAATAAGACCTTGCAGCATTTGCTTTGGCTTCTGGACTTGCTTTCTTGGGGAAAGCAAGCCACCATGTTGTGAAGGTGTTCACACAACCCTGTGAGGGAGAAAGTGAGCCTTCCTGCCAACAAGCAAACCAATTTGGCCACCATGTGAGTAAGCCACTTTGGATGTCAATTCTTCAGTCTTGGTCAGTCCTTCAGATGATGCAACCCCAACAGACATCTTTGTGTGCAACCTCCTAAGAGACCCCTGAGCTAAGCCCCTCCTGAATTCCTGACTCACAGAAACTGGGAGAGACACTAAATGTTTTAAGCCACTGAGTTTTTGAGGTAATTTGTTGTGGAGCATAAATAACTACTAAAGAACCTCTGAATATAAACTTTTACAAAGCGACAAGTATCCTGCCAAGTTGCCTAAGTGGTATAGGCTGGTGTCCCTTTTACATGGTTAATAAAAAAATAGGAAATCAAATGATTGATTTGAAGAAATTATCTTTTCTCTATTCTGAACTTTGGACCTCCACCCAACCACCTCCCTCCAATATAGTTAAATCAGGTATAGGTATGTGATATATGAGAAAAATGAACCTTGTGAAAAGGGAATATAATTGAAGTTAAAAATAGTTTATAAAGACAAATTATCTGGACTCAAATCTGCCACCTCTTTCTAGTTATGTGGCCATAAGCAGATTACTTAACCTCTCTGTACTCATGCAAGTACTCTCAGTGCAGTCTAAGTGCTGCAACAAATAACTAAATATCAGTGACTCGGGATGATAGATGTTTATCTCTTGCTACACTAAGAGTTCACTCTGGGTATTAAGAAGGTAGTATCTTTTGTAGCACTTAAGCATCCCAGGTGCCTTCCATCTGGTGGTTCTGCCTTCTACTCTGCAAATCTCTGCAATTAACCAATTGAGGGAAATGAGAGAGTCTGGAAGACTGGGTAAGATTATAGGGACTAAGCCCAGAAGATACTTTTTATTTTCTTCCACATTCTGTTAATCAGAAGTCAGTCACATGGCAACATCTTAACTGTAGGTTGGGAAGGCAAGCTAACCCTGTACTCAGAGCAAGGGGAAGCAAGTTTGATGACCAACTAGCCAGTTAGGCACATTCTTCCAGTTGGTTTGCGGTGAGGGTTAAACAAGGTATTATATGTAAAGGACAAGAATCTGGTATGAAGTACGGTTAAATAACTATAAACCGTTGTTTTTAGCAGTCTCAACAGAGTGTTCTGAAAATAGAGCTCAAGTCTATTTCTGAATGTCACATGTCTCCCTCTCCCCAAATAATACTTTTTATAACTTAATCTTTTATTGAATAAAATATTAAATATTGAGCCATATATACAAAGAATGAGAAGTTTGATTATGTTCCATTACCCCAAAGGGGACACCACATTTAAGCCTATAACAGGCAGTGTCCATTGATTTTTGAAATATAACTTTTTGGTGTCTTTGGACTTTCAAAGCCAGCAAGCAAATTCAAAGGTAGCGTGATAGAAAAAAAGGACCAGAAAGTGCTAATAACAATATTGAAACTTGTGTAAATAAGCAACTATCCTGCCTAGGGCACAAAATACAGAAATAGAAATGAAATATGAAGTGCATGGCCAGGCCTGTAAGTATATGGGCAAGAACTAGTGGAAAATACTCATCTGGTTTGGTGGGTTATAAGTTATATTACTCTCTGCTGTGTATTTGTTAAGATACATACAGTATTAAGAGTATTACAGTGCTTCATTATATGTTCTTTTTTATTAGTCTCTGCCAGAGAGTGGGATGAATCACACTGAGGTTTTATGTTCCTGTGGGAGCCAGTGATGAAAGAGTATAAGTGAGAACATTTCTGGGATGAAGACTGCCCTGGAGGGCCTTTCTCCAGTCCTCAAGGAGCTAGTGTACCACCTTGATAGAGGTTTTTAATCTGGGGTCCCTGATGTGCCACAAACCCACAGGTTTGCAAGACCTGGATATGTATATTCTCCTGGGGAGAAAATCCTTCATATTCATCAGGTTTGCCTTTCTGGTAAAAACAACTTAGAATAAAGGCAGCTAGACCCCTGTTTATCATGTATCTTTAGGTCTGGTCTAGTATCAAATGAGCAGTTACTGTCTTAGACTCCTTTGGAAGCCTATGAAGTTCATCTACTAAGCATCCTAAGCATGGCCATGCTCTGGCCCCTGGCTTTCTGGAAACAGTGCTTTGGATAAATTTCCTCCCAATAGAACTAAACTGTAGTCATCAAATCTAGAGCACTTTTATGTCCTCTGATGAATATTGTCAGAGACTTTTTCTTTAAAATTCACACTAATAAGATCTTAGTTAATATTTAATGAACATTCCCTTCAGCTTGGCTGTAATTTTCTAGAAATATGCACACACATACACAAATGTCCATGAGTGACTACTTTTCTAAATTTTGGGTTACAAGTTAGGCAAAATTCTGAAACCCCACTTGAAGAAATGCTTTCTAACAGCATCTTTTCATTCTGTCTGCCAACAAGGAAAGCATGAGATGGTATGCTTGCTTGAAACAAGCCTGAATACAGGTCTTAAATGTATGTGCCCTGCAATGACTGGTGTAATATTCTCTTGGGTTTTTAAGAACATTTTGTAGAAGGTGTTTACTTGGTTTCTTGGAATAAAACTAGAAGGCACCCAGTAATAGAAGACAGTATGAAAAGAGACCATGGAAACCCAGGCTAGCCACTGGAGCCACTCAGAGACAGAGAACCATAAGATGCCTGTTGCAGTTATCTATTCCTGTATAACAAATCATCTCCAAATCTGTGACTTTAAACAGCAAGGATTTTTTTTCTCTCTCTCAATTTTGTGGGTCAGAAATTTGGGAAGGGCTCCTGTGTGTCCCATATGGCATCTGCTGGGGTGGTTTGACTGCAGCTAGATGATCCAAGATGGCCTGGGTCTACATGTCTGGAACCTTGGTACTAGCTATCGGCTGAGACACCTTGATCCTCTTTCTGTGGCCTCTATCTCCATGTGATCCCTTGTCACTTGGTGGTCTGGGCCAAACTTCCAAGCAGTCAAATACAGAAGCTACAAGGCCTCCTACGGCATCAACTTGGAATAGACAGAGTGTTGCTTCAGTTCTGTTGGTCAAAACAAGTCACTAGGCCAGCCAGACTGAAGGGATGGGAAAGAGACCCCACCTCTAACTGGAGAAGCAGTACATACACAGAGGCAAAGGGGCAGTTGTGGCTGCTGTCTGTGCAGGCGTTCTACCAGAAGTCCTCACCCCCATGCCTGGAGTTTTGCTTGT